AAACCTAAGTCAGCCATGAAAATGAATGCATGTATTTAGTATAATATATGTATATAGAATATTGAAGTGAATTCCAGCTATCAGTGAAAGAATCTCAGCAACTAATGTCTAGATCCCAAGGAAACTATACAGACAGCCGGTCCTGGAGGTGACTATATGTCATCATTGGAAACAAATGAGCTGTGAGGAAAAAACAGCAAATGAAGCATCAGACTTAGCTTCTGTCCTTTCTGTCTATGATGCCTCCTTCAGCTCCGGATGATTCGACTGTCCTTGACTCTGGGAATTCTGCTCCACTGGATCAAATAGTCAAAGAGTACCTCACCATAGAAAACACAATACTGCACTGGTACTTAGCGAGTCTCTATCACCAAGTAATACACATTGTTTTTGAGCTACCCTAAGCTCTAGCACTGGTAGACTGTTTGAGGTACCATCTCCCACATGTTGGAGATGTCAGGAACCTTCACAGGTGTTAGCTGGTGGGTACAATTAGTTTCTGGTGGTTTGATGGTTGGTGGGTGTTGGTTGGACTGTGAAACTTCTGCCAGCTCCTCACAAAAGGTACATCCTGTCAAGAAAATAACTCAAAATTAGTCATCACCAAGAGGGTAACATCTTGACAGGAAAGACAGAATAAGCACCAGTCATTAACCCCAATCTGCTGACTCCCCCCTGCTCTCCTGTTTCATTCCTCAGATTGCCTCTCCAGACCAAGAGACATAAGTCTCCTATATTCATCTGTCTGTTTAGTGCAAGAGAAGGTAAGTCAGATATACAGTGGAGATAGATAAAGTTCTAACACATATATCACTCTCTCTCTCCCCCTCCCTCTGCACACAGACACCAATATTTACTGTCAGTACCTGCATTCCCTAGACTCCCAACCGCCCGTCTTACCATCCACTGATCTGGGTCAACCATACTCATACACTGGACGACACAGTCCCGACCTAATTTTGGCCCCATTTGGTATGCACAACTTCTATAGTTAGTTTAAAACGTACACAATTGTAAGGGTATTAAGTTTTACCAGTATGGGTGGTTTATTGAGGGCATAAGCTATTTAGTCTGTACAGGGGAAGGTCTACGTTCGAATCCGCTTCTCTAGCGATCAAGAACGGTCGAACTAAGTGTGATCACACAGCCGATACTGATCTCTCTACAGCAGTGACTACTTTACAGACATCATTTTAGGTACTCGTAAACTATAATTAACTTACCCAAGCATATGTAAAAACTGAGACATTCCAGATCGCCTTGAAAACAGAAATTATACAGGCATAGATTGACACGTCTGGACGCTTAGAGCTGGCAAGAGAGAATAGCGTCACTTAGACACTTCAGGCGTTGGTACAAAAAGAAGTCCCTAGTATACATGAGCAATGAGTAAATCGGTTTCCACGAAACCTCAAATAACTCCCTTAATATATATCGAAGAGATATACATTTAAAAATGGAATTTAGTTAAAGTAACCAGAAAAGGTAGACATAATAATGTTGTCCAATAAAGGCCTATATATATAGATATAAGGGACTTTATATTTCTGGGCGAGTCCAAGTTTGAATTTTGTGCAGATTACAGGTAAGACAGGTTATCAGCCTTACAGACCGATGCGTAATGGCTATCATTTCACGACACCTGGCTTAATGTTCTACTTTGTAATATCTTGAGAAGCAAATGAGACCGGCGTGATGTTGACCGTATCACCCACCGAATGGCGATTGATCTACAAAAATGTGTCTAGCATCATTTATCTGATGAGTCAGTGTGGTTTAAAAAAAGTATTTTAAAATGGGTGGTCACAGTAAGGTACTAGATACAGTGCGTTTTAAAGCTCACACTTCAACAGAGTTAAGTTGATTCAAGAACCGACATCACAGCACTCGGGACATTCCCATAAGCGCTCCGTACCCATCTTCGGCAACCAGTGAAGGGTTCCGATAGTATTGTTACCAGTAGCTTTCTTATTTAACGTCCGTCTTGCCTTTTCTCTGAGCCTCTAGCATCTGCCAGAACCTATCGTCACTCCCTGCTGGATCAATCTCGCTAGACTGTGGTAATCCATCTGCTTCTCCGAACTGTACACGCTTTCCCACAAGGCACTAACCACGTCTGCCTTTTCATTCATCATTATTCCACAAAGTTGTGCAGAGCCAGCCAGTCTGTCCGCCTGTTCATTTCCCAACATACCGGCGTGTGTCCTGGTGAAACAAATCTAGACAATACTCTTCACCAGTGTCCTCAGCAGTAAAGCAAACCACTCAGCACGAAACATGACTGTCCTGATCTTCCTCAGCATGCTTTCTGAATCAGTTACAATCACGATATGTGTGTAAATGTGTGTACGTTCTCTAACCAGCGGAAAGCTGCAGTGACCGCCTCCACCTACATTATAAGGCTAGATGTTGTGGTATCACATGCTAGGCTTTCCTGCACCAAAACGTCGACCATTAACTTTTGCTAAGAAACCCCAAGCACTTCTTTTGTCTCTTGACACTGAACCGTCTGTGTAAATGTAAATCCTCTGAGCGAGCATTTTTTTAAATTCATTGCTGAATTTACACCTACGTAGCACCTTTCTGGCCAGTCTCTGCATTCACGGCTCAGTGTGATTATGACCCTACACAAGTCTGCCTGTTCAGGTGTACTTTGAGCCACTCCTCTCCTCACCCAATGTTCTCAAGTATGCAAACCTCTCTGATTGTGTCTTCTGCCTGAGCCATCCATGACTTCCCTCTTATCAGCCGCTGACGCTTAACTGCACCCATAGCGTTGTGCAAAGAAAAGGTGGTATGTGACTGCAGCTACCCTGAGATATGACAGTGGTATTGTGAGCTGACCGTCCAGAAGGCAATGGCAAAATAATGGACGTAAATTTGCCTTAAAAATCAACAACAGCAAAAACAAATTGCATCGGTTGGTTTCTCAACCTCATGCAAAAAAATATGCACTTACAAACATAATGACTGTTTTGAATCGGTGTCTGTTTTAACATATACCTTAAACAAGGCAAAATGGAAACTTGGTGTTTGTTTACTTGTTTACGTTGAAAATAATTTCTTGCAAGGGCATGATTATTAACAGGTTGCATGCCAAACTTCAACAATTTACACCAAACGGTTACAATTTTTGTTATTTTCTTTACTTGGGTAGGACTTCAGGAACGGACTATCACGTTTGCTCACTGTATCTTTAGTCTGCGTTTGAATTGACATCCCCCTTGTGTGGGTTCCGGAGCTACATTCTGAATAACAAATATCAGATAAGCTGCTCCCTAACAAACATCTAGTAAGAGGCATCTAAAAATGGCGTTTTCATCGAAGCCAGAGCACATTTGTTTAAGAGGCAAAAAGCAAACAGTCTGCATACAAAAAAAAACTGCCAAAAAAGATTTGCACGCAAAGCGCACGTTCTGGATCAAGACCAAAGTCCTGGCCTGTTTGAGCCACCAGAATTTTCCCCCAGGAGTTCACATCTGGTGAACACTAAACAGAAAACGAAGAATTCACATCTGGGAAGGATGTTTTATTTGACTGTATAAGGCTAGACAGAATAAGCAGCAGTGGGGTAGCGGCTAGACGCGCCTGATTGTAGCTTGCAGGTCGTGGGTTCGAATCCGCATGGAATCTTACTTTTAAAAAATGTACTTTGGCTTTTTTATCCACCCAAGCTTAAATATGTACTAGACATTACGGGAAGTAAAGGCGACAGACGTGACGTTGACCAATACCTCACCAACCGAGTGCCGAGCCGTCTGTGAAAATGTGTGTCTATCATCATCTGTCCCATGCGCCGCTGTCGTAAAAAAAAAAGCTACCTGATTTTTACTTACTTAGACAGAACAATAGCAACACTCTGAAAGAGAAAGTGATTTGGTCATACAACACGCTTCCCGTGCTGGTTCCGGGGCCCTGTTAAAGGGAAAACAAGAATAGACCCACTGCCTATCCAAAAGCATGTCATAAGACAGGAGTTTGTCAATCTTTTCACAAGGGACCGTGATAAACATTGTGTGTTTTTTCGTTGTCACAAGAGCGGATCAACTATGGGTTGACCCGTTTGGTATAAAGCTGAAACTAAGATTACCAGATTACCAGATGTCGTAAGAGTCGGCTAATTGGGAGCTTCCTTCAAAGTCAGAGTGCATCTGCCTAAGACGCAATGAACCAACGGTCTGCATCCAAATTAGTCCGATCTGTCTGTCAAACGAATGCACACGCAACAATCAAGTTTTGGAACAGGAGGGCAGTCCAGAATTGGACGAGCAGCCATAATTTTTTCATCAGAGTTTACAGCTGGTGAACACGAAGAAAAATACAACATGCAATTGGTATAACCAATGGACAATTTTCTTAACAAATGGTGAGATTACTCTTAAAGGAACATTCATTCCTTGAGTTAGTGTGTGTTTTATATTTAGTTAACGTTTTAAATTTGTAAATTTAAACATATGTGTGTACTGTAATAAATGTATAATGGAATCATATTTCATGAATATTTACTTTATAAACGAAACACATATTTTATAAAGTTTGAAAGTCCTTACTGGCTTGCTATTATCAGTGTCAGATAGTGGCTTTCTGTTTGTTCATATTTTTTTTTTTTTCAAAAGGACTTGTCAGAATAGGCTCTGTGGCAAGACACTTGCGTGCCAGCATTGAAGTCCTTGTATTGATTCCCATTTAATTTCAATAATTATAAAATGAAATTCAGAGCCCTGAAAAATTAAAAAAAAAAAAAAAAACGAGCCTATTAGTACGGTTGGATGAACGCCGTGTGCAGTAAATTAAGCTCCTCCCACTGAAACAGGATTCCATTAATTCATCAAAACGGCATGTTACATGCATATCGCTCTTTCACCCCTTCTCCTTCTACGATCTTTTGAAATCAGTCGTGTGGGCCTTTCGTGTCGGTAAATTAGAGCTGCAACAGTCGTTTACGTTTTGTGGTCTGCAGCTACGAAGCCGAGAGTGTGTGAAGTTATCAGTTACGGCTAATGGATGTAGCGACAACATTTTTATCAACTCGATCTGTTCTAATCGCTATAGCGTTAACATTCCTTGGCTACTACATCTGGCGTTGGATTTCGAGCAAATCACCAAAGAATCTTCCACCGGGTCCACGGGAATGGGGCACCAACTGGAAGTTCCTCAAGGCATCTTGGTATGGTACTTTACCAGAACTTGCAGCAGAGTGGGCCAGGAAATATGGGCCTTTGACTTTCGTTTACAGTATGGGTCAACCAATTCTGTTTTTAAACACTCCTGAGGTTTCTAGAAAGCTGCTGGCATCTGACGAGTACAAACTTCGAGTGGCCGATAGAGAACCAAATGCAGCATTTAAAATAGTTGATCTCCACAACAGAGATTTGCTATTTTCTAAATTTGACAGTAAGTAGGCCAATTTAAACAATATCTTGCCTATTTTTTTAAAGAAAACACAGATTAAAGAAGTGAGTAAGAGCCGTGGTGGCAATATGGCATCCCATCAGTTCGATGGGCGAGCCTTCGAAAACTCATGTTACAATCCATCTTGCCTCTCAGATAGATCAAACCTAACAGTGCTATCTACTAATCTGGCTCAGCTTGTTAGCGTAGTTGGTAAAAGCTGACTTTGCGGCGACCCGGTGACGAACTCCTTGCCCGGGTTCACGCCCGGTGTTTAGGCAGAAAAGCCACATTTCTCCCAGATTTACGGTACCCATCATGGAATCAAGGCGGAAGGGCAGCGATATCCATAGCACTGAGCCAAAGGGTTTATAACTCATGGTTTCCTGATACTTAAAAAAAAAAAATATACGAATATGCTGTGAAATAAACACATTCAGTGTTATGCTGAGATCATATCCCATCCAGCGACAATTTGTTTATTACATATTGGCTAATTATCACATGATCATGACTTGGGTAAACTGTTTTTGTTTTGTTCGTACTACAATTACTATTTATACAAACAGCAATTAAACGAAGGAAATGATATTAAGTATTTGTTTGTTTAACTTCTAAACGCAGTAGTGCCCTCACAAAGCTTGTATTATTTAAGTTCGTTTTTGTTTGTAATGTGGTAAGAAAAAAAAAATTTTTTTTGGGGGGGGGGGAAGAACATAAAATATGCACAGATAAAAAGAAATACGCTTACGTAACGTGCTGTTACTGTATCATCATGTAATTGCAATGGATGTAAAGTAAGCCATATATTTTTTAAGACAATATAATTATTCTTTACCTTTCGATCAATCAATTCTCATCGTGCTCAGAGGTACATGAGGCAGAGAAAAACTGTCGTCACTCAATTCGATCCTGAGCAATCCTCTCTGTCTCCAGTTGTGTCTTTCGCGCAGCCGTGAGTTCAGCCTCAAAGGTTCGCCTTCAAGTGCCTCTGGGCCTGCCTCTTCCTAGCTGTCATTGTGTTGTCCTTTGCAATGCTTGTCTTGGCCGTCTCTCTTTCTTCATTCGGAGGACGTGTCCAATCCACCTACATCTTCGTTTTTTGAATTGCTGATTTTATCTTCTTGTGTGAACAAAAGACTATCTTCTGAGAAGTCGTTACTCAAAATCTCTGAGTATGCTTTCTGTCCTTCTGCCTGTTTAACAAGTTTCTGCTCCATAGAGGATAACTAGATGTTTGATCTTCAGAAACTCTAAAATCTGCAATGTCGGGTACTGATTAAGATACAACCTACGGGCTAACTAACTAGCTAACCATTTAACTAGTTAACCTTAGTCACTTAACTAATTTACTAACTAAATAACTAAGTACTACTAACTAAGTAAATAATAAACTAACACAATTAATGAAAGAATCAAGAACTGATATCACTGCACTTGGGACATTCAAACACGTGCTCCTTCTCCTTTCTAAGTAGCTAACGAAGAGTTAACTTGCAACCAGTTGCAACCTGATGTAAAGTCCGCATATGTTTTAAACCCCCCCCCCCCCCCCTTTTTTTTTTTTGTCCCCCTTCATTTCCCCCAGTGCTGAATATCTTCGAGATATTCAACTAACCATGCAACCAACTGACAGTATCGCTGTATCAACATAATGCAAGTACCTACAAACCTTAGGTAGCCAAACTCAGGAAATATGTGTTTTTTTAGTATATGGTGCATTCTGTTAGACAGTTTTGTATTGTTATACATACATTATTGCATCTTCCTTGTCTTTCAGCCGCCATGAAAAAGAAGCGACGGCTGTTCTTCAATCGTGATCGGCCTCTACGGTGACGGTGTAGAGAGGTTTGAGAATGTGGTCTGGTCAGAACTGGAGAGAATGTTTGAAGAAATTGAGCAGATCGAAGGGAAAGATACCGATATTTCAGCTATTTTGACCCGATCTATAAAAAATATCATCTATATTTTGGTAAAATAGTTGTTTACAATTATTTGTTTGCACTGTTGAAACATTCACACTGACTAAAGCTTCATAATGCTTTTTTGCTCTTTGGTTGCCAAGATCGCATGTCTTTGTTAATTCTGATTCTTCTTCTTGTTTTCCTCTAATTTTCCTCCTCTTCTTCTTCTTCTCTTTCTTCTTCTTCTTCTTCTTCTTCTTCTTCTTCTTCTTCTTCTTCTTCTTCTTCTTCTTCTTCTTCTTCTTCTTCTTCTTCTTCTTCTTCTTCTTCTTCTTCTTTTTTTTTTTTTTTTCTTCTTCTTCTTCTTTTTCTTCTTCTTCTTCTTCTTCTTCTTCTTCTTCTTCTTCTTCTTCTTCTTCTTCTTCTTCTTCTTCTTCTTCTTCTTCTTCTTCTTCTTCTTCTTCTTCTTCTTCTTCTTCTTCTTCTTCTTCTTCTTCTTCTTCTTCTTTTTTTTTTTTTTTTTCTTCTCCTCCTCCTCCCGACCACCACCACTACCACCACAGCCACCACCACATTCTTTTATTCTTCTCTTCTACAGTTTTCTGTATTTCATAAAAGTATATCTCATAAGCATGCTGCTTTAATTAATACCACCATTATTTCACAAGAGACATCTTTATAGTGTTTCATTATTTTTTTTAATATGCACATCTATTAATAGGTCAACGCATCGCCATATTTAATACTGTGTTATATATATATAAACAGGCACACAGCGAAATATGATAAGAATAAACATATTATTATACAAAATTTTAGGGCGTACATGTGAGGAATTCCAAACAAAGGCGAAAAGCACATTAACGTATAGTTGTGCAACAATACTAACGGGCTTGGATTTGGGCTGGATTAGTAATGATTCTTTACGGACTGTAGGTTTACTGTCAAGAAATGTCAGCCTAATAAGTTGCGTAATTATTACAGGAAGTTGCAGAACCAACCCCAATTCATCTTACATAGAAAAAGACTTTACAGTGCGCAAAAATGTATTCTTTACAGCTCTAGTCTAAATGAGCAAATGGTACTATTCACACATTTTAGAGGCCAATGAAAACTCAGTGAATGGTGTGGCACATACCGTGATACGTGATGATTGGCGGTGACCTCGGTACATAAAAAACTTAGAGTATTAGGGGGAGGGGAACGTTGTGTATGGAAGCTCGCTCTCCTACGAGATACGCCTATCCAGATCAGAGGGGGACAAAAGAAACAGGAAACACCAAGAAAGAAGAAGAAAGACATGCACCAGTTACAACAGGTTGGAGGACGAGCGGTTTGATTCGGATGGAAGCATCAAGCCCAGAAATGGCACAAACACTTAATTTAAATTCAGTCACGAAAGTGACGCAAATAACCCAGACCACAAATATAGGCGGAGACTGCCAGCAGCCTCGGCTAGCTAGCAGCAGTCAGAACGTGGTCGAGCTTTTTTTTTTTTTTCAAAAGGACTTGGACTTAGGGGAATCGGCTAGGCTCTGTGGCAAGACACTTGCGTGCCAGCATTGAAGTCCTTGTATTGATTCCCATTTAATTTCAATAATTATAAAATGAAATTGGTTATCATTCACACACAGCTTTAAATGGGTACCAAAGAATGACTATGGGAGGTAAAGGCAGACAGTGTCTTGTTAATCACAATGATCAACGAGTTACGTTTGATCTAACAAACAAACAAAAAAAAAATAGAAGTTTATTACTAATGCTTGATGCGCGTTTGGTATGAAAACCCGTTACTTAAGATTTTACCTACCATACACACATTTATTTTAATGAAAACAATTTATTTCCCAGCTAGGTTTTGCTGAAGCAAATACAAAAATTCTCAGCCAGGAGTCTAAAGGTTCAGTCGCTCAGCTACTGAGTTAAATAGCTGGTGCAACACAGTGAGCTGTGGATTTTATGTCGAGCGATTTTTTTTTTTTTTTAAGATGAGCCTGTACCGAGTTGTTGGCCGCACAAAAATGGTAAATGAACGTTTACGTACAGAATGACGAATTTAGTGCCAGCGCTCTTGTTGGACCGTTTGCGTCAACAATGAGCTTTTATTATGGTGGGACAGCATACCTGACATCTGCCTTTTGCATTTTTACTTTACGTGTGCAGGCTTTATGATTTTGCCAGGACTGACAAGTATTTCGATAGTGAAGAACAGTACGGGACATTTTGTGAGATTTCTATTGGCAGAGGAACGGAGCAGTTGTGGGAATGACCCTTATAAAGTGATGTTGGGACCACGAATAATATACTGTTCATTGTTTCAGGCTCTGGGTGAACGCCCAAACGACCCACATGCCCCAGATGTATTAGAGGAGTACGATAATGCTTTAAATGATCTGAGCAGGGCTGAAGTCGACTATCTGTTGGGCTATCTCCCATTCGTTGCTAACATTCCAGGCAGAATCAAGACAACTGTACAACGCGTAAAGCGAGCAAAGAAAGGAGCAGACGAGATGATGCTGTATGGTCCAAAGGTAGGAATCACGATCCTGGTGTGTGATCGATCATTTCCATAATGTTGATGACTTATAAGATACATAAGTCTGCTTTCCTAACGTAAGTCATAACCAGTGGATGTGGTTTAATGTATAATGATGAACGCTTTTAATTGTCTTCATGTCAGATCTTGTGTAGATTATCAATAAACCGAACTCAATGTTATAAGTCGTCCCCAGTTGGAATGCAATTTTTTTTTTGTTATTTGAAGATATAGCCAAACGGTGAAAGGGGTTTTTGAGACCTCTCCACGGGTGTTCCTCATCCGCATGGTGGCTTTTTGTGTCATTGGGTGTTTATCGCTTGTGTGAAATCCTGGTGGGGTACAACTACCTACCTACCCACCGCACTAACTCGAATGGTTCTAAATTTTTTTTTAATATTTGAAGAATGAGTGTGTATATATATCTATATATATAAAAATCAATGTTTGTGTGTTTGTTTCACCCCTATAGACTCGGAAACTACTGAACCGATTTAGCTGAAATTTTCAGGATATGTTTGTTGTGATACCGGATTTTGAACTGTCGTGGTTTGAAATTCAACCTGTCACTGTTAGAGATAGGTGACCACAATTAATGCTAAAATATATGCAACTAATATTTATAACTTTAGTGATTTCTAATTATAGCCACGTTAGTTATTGCGCATGCGCCGTATTTACCATTCGCCGGCGAGTTACGTTCAGCCAACGCCTTCTCTAATACTAATACATAGAGTAGGTCGTGGTACAGCAAACAAGACTATCTCTATATTTGCCAAAATAACCATATTAAACACGATTTCTATTTTTTTTTTTAAACAACCTTAGATGGGGGGGGGGGGGGGAGGGGGGGGGGTGAGGGGGGGATGGGGGGCAATCAAGTACTATCTCGACGTCGGCGCATATAGTGACTGCGACATTAACTTCATTAACCGTGTTAGACACGTGCGATTTCTATTTCATTAATATATCTGGAGTATCTGTCTACGAGAAAACAATTGCCTGCGGTTTTGAATTGTGTTTTAATCGCGACACAGTAGTATGGACTCACATGTCTAATAGTTGAGTTCTCTTTTCGTTGTTCTGATTAAGTGGATGCTTGGTCGAATGGTTAGAACACTGGGTTCATGTGCGGTAGACCTGGGTTCGAATCCGCAGTCGTTATATTTTTTTTTTGCCCCGGACTAAAATAATATTCTCATCTGCTCTGCCGTAGTGACAGCACTAGCCATGTTGCCTTAATATTTAAAAAAAAAAAAAAAAAAAACAACAAGTAAATGGGTAAACCATTTGATAATTAAATTTGACCATTTCACATACTTATGATTGCATTGTTAAACTTTCCGATTGCATGGTTACGCTGAAATTTTATAGATTTTCATTTAGATTTAGTTATTTCATCTGTGTTGGAATTTTAAGCTGTGCTGTTTACAATGGCGTTCATTTCCTAATTATGGTGGGTTTTTTTCCTGTGTTCGTTTGCTTTTCAAGTTTTTTTTTTTCTCCCAACTACTTCAATGAGGGAAAGAGTTGTCGGTGAATTTGGGGGGAGGGGGGGGGGGGGCAAACTATTAACTGAGAGAGCTTTAAGTCACAGTAACTGCTTTAACCCAATTAAAGTAGCAGCAGCAGTAATAGTTGTTACACCAGGGCTGTTACACCATAGTGCTCTCATGTGAAGACCGCCAGTGACGGCAAGTGAAATTATACATCCTAAACCTGACCAGTCTGTGGCGACAGCACTAGCCATGCGGAACCAAATCTTCTGGCTCACGACTCTCTGTCTACTCGATGTGTAACACAGATAGCAGTGACATTATTTTAGTAGTTGTACTGGTACTTGAAGGATGATGTGGTAGATATTACACTAGCCCTATTCACTACCTTTTACAATTCCTGCCTCCCTTTTTAGTCCAGATGGACAGGGATGTCAATGTCAGTTACAGCAACAACAAAAATATCGCCAGTTAGTGATTTTCAAATCCTTCGAAGAGGGAGAGAGCAGTAGTCGGTGGAAGAGGGGAGGGGAGGGGGGGGGGGGAATGACATAATTTTGATAAGGGGGGGGTAGTAGGTGGATTTAGTTGGGGGTGGTGGGGTGGGGATCAAAGACTATCTCTATATCTGAGCAGACAATGATTGTATTAGACACGTGAGATTTCTATTTTCTTTCATTTCCATTTAGCCAAACTATGCCACAGCAACGCGTGGCCGGGTTCAGCTAGTATATATATATATATATATATATATATATATATATATATATATATATATATAGCCCTTTGATATTTCCCATGCCCAAATATATTGTAACTGATCATAAAAAAAATATAATTACAATCCACACAGAGGAGAAACTGGAAAATATACTATCAGATTCCTTTTGTAGATATGGACTAACAATTAGCAGCATGAAGACAAAGATTATGTTGCACTATTTTAATCATAGAGCAGCAGTTTCATGGATGGTGAAGATGGTTCCACTGAAACTGAGCACTGGAGACATTTGACCATTTAACATACACAAGACTCTTAGTCAATTACAAACTATCACTAGATCAAGAAATCAACATTAGGGTCAGTAAGGCAGCACCAACAATGAGCAGATTAATATAAAGATTTGGGAGAACAGAAAGCTCACGTTTAAAGCATAAACTGTTTCTATGAAGCTTCTAGCCTCAACACTATTCTGTATCGTAGAACGTGGTCGACTTATTAATACCAGCATAAACAGCTGACTTGCTTTCACATGTGATATTTACGAAGAATACTTTTAAGACAAGACAAGGTATATTTATTACATACTATAATAATTCAACATATTTCTGTAACACACGATTCGTGAATGCTTATGAAGTTCAAATAATTGTTCTGCAACAAAGAATCTGTTCGAATATCAACAGTCATGAAAAAAAAATTGTCACATCTAATTAAAACTGAAAAATAAAATAATATTGTTTATATTTTTTCTTTTCTGAGTATATAGAGAACTCACATACCAGGACAACCACGAGGGATAACAGATCTACTGCTTGATTATCAAAAGAAACCAGGCTACGAATTCATGGATGAAGATGAAACTCATCTCATTGGCTTCTTGACTACCCTGTTTATGGCTGGTACTATTTTATCAATTCATTTGTTAAGATGAATTCGTATTTCCAATTCTGAGTTGTGTATCCTTCTATGTGCACTCTTACTTCGCGTATGTCCACACTGGAGAAATATCATGTAAATATTTAAAACCGAAAGAAAAGTAAATTAGCTAGCTTTACAATAAAACAAACACAAACAAACGGTAAACGTTACGGCTACATTGCCTTCATCAGCAAATATTTTAATAAAACGTTTTTTTTTTTTAAACACACGAATTCACAAAATCACTTAACTGACGTATCCGGAAGCAGCTAAGTTGATGTCTTGGAGGGGGAACGAAGACCCACGTTAAGCCCGAGAAAACGTCCCCACATATAGAAAAGTACAATATTAGATTTGCTTTCCGTGATGAGGTCTTAGGTACAATATGCAAAAATGAAAAAAATTGTCTAAAGAAATGGTTTGAATGCAACTAATACGCGTAGCACGAAATATCACGGGAAGTAAATGCAGCCAAACACTTAAAGAATGGCTACTGGTCTACAAAATATTAATTCTAGCATTATAATAATATTTCTTGCATTCTTTTGACAACATCTACGTTCTAACAAAGATATTACTTTTACTACATTTACCTTAACTTTTAGACAACATGATCTACATTCCACACACACATACACATACACACCCACAAACGCGAGCACGCACGCACACACACACACACACACAAACACAAACACATATATACAAATTAAATTTTTTACAACATATTATTTATGCAACAGAAAGAAGATCATTTTTTTTTCTATAAATATAATATTTTATGTCCGAGCATACAGGAGCAAATGTGGGCAGTGATGACATCTTACGTGTTGGAAAACTAAGGCTTAAATAAAAACAGGTGCAAAAAAGCATGTGCAACAAAGAATAAATTGTTAAAGACTATGTAAAGTAAACGTACGAGAAAAATTCCAATTTAAGCTGAAAAATTGAATAGAGGAAGACCAGAGCATAGAGGAAAACTAGAATGATGTTAGGACCATAATTTTAGAAGTAGCAACTGTTAGTGTAGAACTAAAGAACCATGATAGAAAACCATGGATAGGTGAAAACACATGTCTGTGTATTCAGAAAAGAAAAGAATTAAAGCTTGCTTTATTTGAACAATGCTAAAATAATTTAACAAGAAATCATGGTTAAAGAAGATAAGGGGAAGTGGACACAATCCTGAGAGAGGAACAAGCAGGTTTTCGACCTCGAAGAAGTTGCGTAGATCCAATACTCTCCCTGTGACTTACTGTTTAGGATTTATTTGAAAAACAACATCCCCTTGCTTTTAATTTCACGGACTTTAAGAAGGCTTTTGTTATTTCACACAGTTAGTTGCAAATCCTTTACAGGACGTTGCAGAAACAACCCCAGCATATTTTGGCTGTTGTGGTTTTTTTTTAGGCAAGTTTACGTCCAGTAGTTTGCCATTGCTACTGGATGGTCGGCTTCTTGATACCACTGTTGAAACCAACGCAAGCCGCAGAGCCCACATCTGGAATTAAACCTGGCCCCCCGGCATTACAAAGCGGGTTCGCAACACCTTAGCCACAGACGCCGACACGCAGAATATCACTATGGGAAATATTAGTAATATGCTGTTATATCAATAAATATAATAAATGCACCGAACGAGATACAACGAAATATGTTAGGCAATATATTTGTAAAACAGAGTTTGCTCAATCATTTGTAAACATTTATATTTCTTCCAGCTCACTTGACCACAAGATCTACACTCACCGGCATGTTTCTGTGTTTGGTAAATTACCCCGAGGTAACTAAAAAGATTCAGCAAGAAATTGACAGTGTACTTCAGGGACAGCAACCCAGAATGGAACATAAACGTAAGATGCCATACACCGAAGCTGCGATTTTGGATACTCTGCGACTGACTTCAGTTGCGCCAATCAGCAGCTTTCGCAGAGCATCTGAAGATCTCGACTTCGAAGGCATGACAATTCCCAAAAACACCATGGTTAGATTTTAAACATTTTTCTTTTACAGTTTGCCTTTCTCTTATAACACTAATGCACGCGGCTGTGGCTCGTAAATACGCTAAGCTGCGTCAAAATCCGACTATAAAACAAGCCCAGCATTTCCTTTAGCGCTCAGTTCCCATTTTTGCCGGCCAGCGATGAGTTCCTGTTCCGATAACATCAGTATAGTGCCTTACAAAAGTTGTGCCCTCAAACTGTAACAAATGTCTCGAAAACTCAAATACAGATCAACACGAATTTTACAAGTGGCCGAAGATATCTCATGTCCGCATGGTTTTTATAATAAGCAATGCACATATGCTCATGTTTTCTTAAAACGGTAAATTTGTGTGATCTTTGTGTGACTAATAATTTGTGTACCCATAAAACATTGGGGAAAAAAACAGTAATTGACACAGAAGTACAGGTTGTTTCCAAATCATTCACATGTCCAGCGACGAGGCGTAACTATTTTGGCAGCCTTTTCCGCATACAATGAAATATGGTGTACACCTAATTGGCAGGAGGCTAATGCTGGAGATGACCACCTGAAAGGGAAACACCAATGAAAAGCTTGTAGTCTGATTTTTTAAAAAGTTTTTGTTACTCACTTAACTGTAAGCAAGCTGACTTTTTGCTTTGAATTTGTATTTTTTTTTTCTTTGCATATTACAAATAAGGCAGAATGAAAACTATAAGTTTTCTTACCATTTTTTAAAAACTTTCTTACACAGACATGATTATTAACAGGCTGTATGCCAAATTTCAACAACTTACACCGAACAGTTACACATTTTTAAAGTTGCGCAAGACTTTTTGGAAAGCATTATAGCAGTCTGAATATTCATCTTGCCTTTCGCGAATGTCGGCCCGATCCCATGATCACTCCCTTTTATCTGAATTATCTTCAGCCTGCAATAAGCTATTAGTGCTTCTGTATTGTTTACTTGACCACAAACTGAACTCATCTCCACCCCATCGACATTGATCTTTCACGCTGTATACATATGTCTAATATGTTCATCAGTCAAAAGTGTGGAAAAGCTCCCATTGATTTCTTGTCAATAGATGATGTGGACAAAAGAGTTTCGTCTTTTACGGGAAAATTCCTGGCGTCGGTGTCTACCTTAGGCGTTGCGAACACTCTTCAGAATTCAACGTGACAAGTTCGATCACTGCTGCAGGTGATTTGACAGCAGACCGCCTTGCATTGGTTTCCTCGGTGGTATCGAGAGCTGATAGTTGAGGAAGCAGTTATAAACTACTTAGCCTAACTTTGCCTAGAAAAAATCGCTACAGCAACAACAACAACAACAAATATGGGGTTGGTTCTGTAACGTCCTGTAAACTCGGCACTCGGCAAAAGAGGCAGAGATAGACATAACAAATATTCAGGAAATTTCAATAATGGGGCAGTTAAACAAAACCACTGGAAGTATCATCAATACATTTTATTATGGCCAAGACACAAATGCCATCTATGAAGCAAATCATGGAATCCAAAGAGGCAACCTTCATTTATGATTTGGTAACTTTTCATAACCGCCCGTTAAGCAGACAACAATCACGCCGCCATTTTGTTGACCTAGTCAGAGGTGCATTGTTGCATAAACAGTATGGAGCAATAAGCTTACTTTAAATTCTGTTTAAAACTCAGAAAGAGCGCCATTGAGACAGTTGAACTGGTAAGACAAGTTATGGGGATAATTGTTTATCTCGTGCACATATTCACAATTCAAAAGTGGTGCGGAAATGATTACTAAAGCTATACCTCGACGCCAAATTTCTGTTCGTGATGAAACTGTTGCAAAAGTCAGAGAACGGATACAAGAATAATTGTGTTTGATTGTGCGCATGGTGGCAGATATATTCGGTGTTAATAGACAGACCGTTTGAAAAACTTTAGTGGCAGATTTTGGCAAAAAAAACATGCTGCTTTCCGGTTTGTACCATGTTCGTTGTCTGATGACCAAAAACATCTTCGTGATGAGTACGCAAAAGACATCATCAAAACGTATCACAGAAATAAATATATCTTAAATGTGATTGTTGCAGAGGATGAGACATGTAATTTCCACTAATATCCTACAGGTAAACGCCAAAGTGCTCAGTGGAAGTCATCATCGTTTCCAAAGAAAAAAAAAACTGTCTTTCAAAGTCAAAAGAAAGGCAATATTGATGTATTTTACGAAAGCAAAGGAGTTTTTCACAAAGAATTTATTCCAGAGGAACAGACTGTCTCAGCCCTAGTTTATTTAAGTTTCTTGAAACAGTTGTTGAAAAGGATTCTCCGAGTCTGACAGGAGTATTCAACACCTTTGCAGTTTTTTTTTTTCTTCGTGACAATGCACTGGTTCACCGTGCAATAACTGTACAGGAATTTTTGGCCCAAAAACAAGTGTGTGTTCTTACCCATCCCTCCTATTTCCCAGTTTAGTTTCCCTGTGATTATTTTTTATTTCCAAAGTTAAAGTTACGATTGAAAGGATGCTTCTTTGATAATACTCATGACATCTAGAGGGCCGTAACATCGACTCAAAGGGCCATAACAACAAAATAAGTAGAGAGGTCGTTCCAGTGTTTGTTAGATCGTGCCACTCGTTGTATCAATGCACATTGGCTTACTTTGAATAAAATAGGGGTTATATCTAGTTAACTGTTGAATGAATTTAATGTTTAGAGAATTATAGTCATTACTTAATTGTCGGACCTTGTATCAATCATCTGTGTATCACCAAGGTCCTTATAGAAAGCAAAGAATAGTAATACTACACCTTAACAGGTATGTTGCCACACACCCTAATTACGTCGTTGTGAAATGCAATTTTTTGTTATTTAAAGCCCTAATCTGGCTCTTGCCAGGGGCCGCTATATAACCCGGCCATTAATATGGTCTAGTGGCTGAACACGGTTTTTGGGACCCTTCCACGGGTGATCCTCATCCACATGTTGGCACCTTGTGTCATTGGGTGCTTATGGCTTGTGTGATGTCCTGGTGGGGGTAAAAGAATATAGATAGGTATGTTGTAGGAGGTGACAAGAGGCGGGTCTGGGCTTGCAATTGGCTACCTGATCGCGTAACACCTTAGCCACAGAAAAACGACCAATCTATTGACCCCCATATGTCCAGAAAGCAAATGCCAGAAAAAAACGGATGTGTCGGCCGAACAAAGCAAGTATCGCTGCTATGCTCTAAATAGGCACGACGTATTTATGTTACTCTGAACGAAGAATGGTGACGATGATCATGATGACGAAGTAGGAGATGACAATATGAATAATGTTTCATGCCGTCTCTGCAGTGGAGGTTAGAAGCAATGGATCAATTGCTGTATTTTTTTCTCTCCGAATATTACCTTGTGAGATCTCAACCTCTTTCGCCGTGCAAATATCCTACCACTGTCCGAAAACGACAAAAAAATTTTTATCGACACTGTCAGCCGCAAAATCAAATCTTTGTACACCAGGACTTACCAAACGCACTCACTAATATCTGAGTAAAAAAAAAAAAAAGCTGGAAAAACTATCTACAAGGCTGCAGCCAATGGCTTTGCGGTTAGTTAACCCGTTTGTCTTCATGATCTGGAGGTCATTGCTCCGTTACTGGACTGAGTGGATCTGATTCAGAGTGCAGTCTTGAATATGCTTGGGAATAGTAACTGGTGCGACCAAGTTGAAGCCATTGTGTGAAGAGGTGAAGAGAAAGGGAGAGAGAGGGGAGAGAGAGAGAGAGAGAGGGAGAGAGAGAGAGAGAGGGAGAGATAGAGAGAGAGACAGAGAGACAGAGAGAGAGAAAGATATTTGTAAAGTAGCTCGTTTCAATGAGGTCGATTCTCAGGCTTTTAAACTTCTAAAAACGCTAAAATTGTTTTCATTACATTTTGCAGATTTTCATAAACAACTGGCACATTCAACATGATGAGAAGTTGTGGGAGCAGCCATGGAGATTCAACCCTGATCACTTTCTTGACAGTGAGGGAAATCTTCTGCCTGTTGAGCACCAGATACGGAAGAAGTAAGCAAAACGTAACACAGTGCCAAACAAACTATAACTAATTTTGAATAATTCTCCATATGTGAGATTTAACTTCGTCAGCTAACACATTACAACAACAACAACAACAACAATAACAAGAAACATTGGAAAAACGGAGACAAACGATGTTGCCTTGAAAATAGAATGACAGTCTTGTGTTGATTTCGACAATTGTACGAGCCGAAGAAGAAGAAGAAGAAGAAGAAGAAGAAGAAGAAGAAGAAGAAGAAGAAGAAGAAGAAGAAGAAGAAGAAGAAGAAGAAGAAGAAGAAGAAGAAGAAGAAGAAGAGAAGAAGAATAAGAAGAAGAAGAAGAAGAAGAAGAAGAAGAAGAAGAAGAAGAAGAAGAAGAAGAAGAAGAAGAAGAAGAAGAAGAAAAAAGAAGAAGAAGAAGAAGAAGAAGAAGAAGAAGAAGAAGAAGAAGAAGAAGAAGAAGAAGAAGAAGAAGAAGAAGAAGAAGAAGAAGAAAGAAGAAGAAGAAGAAGAAGAAGAAGAAGAAGAAGAAGAAGAAGAATAAGAAGAAGAAGAAGAGGAAGAAGAAGAAAAAGAAGAAGAAGAAGAAGAAGAAGAAGAAGAAGAAGAAGAAGAAGAAGAAGAAGAAGAAGAAGAAGAAGAAGAAGAAGAAGAAGAAGAAGAAGAAGAAGAAGAAGAAGAAGAAGAAGAAGAAGAAGAAGAAGAAGAAGAAGAAGAAGAAGAAGAAGAAGAAGAAAAAGAAGAAAAAGACGAAGAAAAAGGAAAAAAATAAAGAAGAATAATAGCAAGTATGTCATTGTTTTAAATCATGTACTCTATTGTTAAAAGTTAAATTTGTTTAAAGAATTTACTCCATTGGGTAAACGTGTATCATTTACTTTCAGTTCATTGCCATTTGGAATTGGCGCCCGAGCTTGTCCAGGAGAAATATTTGCTCGTTCTCGAGTGTTCCTGTTTGTTACCAGCATCCTGCAGCGTTACGATCTTCTCCCACCAGCCAACGAAAAAATGACCCCAGCAAATTTTAAAATCCACGATGAACATATTCAAGGTCTTGTTCGTCAAACTCCACCTTACAAATGTCGGCTCGTACGTCGGAAGACCTTCTACAACTGAACTAGAATCAAATGCAAATTGTATAATATTAGTGAATTGTATGTGTATTCATCCTCGCTCTGTAGCTACCAGTGTCAGAATGGTCACTCAGAGCCTATTGTATACTTTTCGTCTTTTTCAGTATGAAGTTTTCTTTATTTGAAGCCCTACTCTGGCTCTTGCCAGGGGCCGCAATATAGCCTGGCCATAAATATGACCTAAAGGCTGAACTCGGTTTCTGGGACCTTTCCACGGTGATCTTCACCCACATGGTGGCACATTGTGTCATCGGGTGTTTATCGCTTGTGTGATGTCCTGGTGGGGTAGAAAGTCAGTCAGTCAGTCTGGTCTCTCACTACAAATCAGAAAAGAAAAAGAGTAACTATGGTAATTTGATGCATGAAACAGGCTGCAGGAGTGACCAGAAGGGATGAAATCAGGAATCAAGCCTGACCTCCAGTTGTGTTATGCCATATCTATTTTATAATATGCTTACTTTGAATTTTAACCCATTGGTTTGTATTGTATACCGTTAATTATTTAAGTATGAAATACATGTGCATCCATAAAAAAAAATAAAAAAAAAACTACGTTTTTATGTAATGCAATAATAGTCTTTATTTGGCTTGTTAGATTAGAAATTCCCTGTGTGGTTTCCGGGGCCCCGTGGGGTGGTTGGGGAGGAGGTGGGAACCATGTTGTTTTAATCGACTGATTGGGGACTTTATTGGAGCTCGGAGTGCATCTGCCCGAGCAACAAGATACGACCAACTGCACGCACAAAAGCCAGTAATAAAAGGAATGCACACACAAAACTCATGCCCTAGCACAAAGTCCAGATGGATGAAAAACCAGCACTTTCTGTCGGGGTTTTCAGCTAGTGAGCAAAATGAAGAAGAGGAAGAGAATTAAAAATAAAATTATGTGCCGTCTTCACAATGAAGGTTGACTAGGGTACACTCGATGCTGACTTTGACAATGTTGCCTGGTGATTTTCCATGGTTAGACTCCGATATAAATGTCAGAATGCAGACGAAACATTTTTTTTTCTTTATTCACAAAAACGTCTGCAGCGACTGTGTTTAGAGCTATGTTCTGCAATTTCTTTCCGACCGACTGTGATGTGAACGACGTTCTGCAAGTTCTTTCCGACTGACTGTGATGTGAGCGATGTTCTGCAAGTTCTTTGTGACTGACTGTGATGTGAGCGATGTTCTGCAAGTTCTTTGTGACTGACTGTGATGTGAGCGATGTTCTGCAAGTTCCTTGTGACTGACTGTGATGTGAGCGATGTTCTGCAAGTTCTTTGTGACTGACTGTGATGGAAGCGATGATCTACAAGTTCTTTGTGACTGACTGTGATGTGAGCGATGATCTACAAGTTCTTTGTGACTGACTGTGATGGGAGCGACGTTCTGCACTTTCTTTCTGACAGACTATGATGTGAGCGACGTTCTGTAGTTTCTTTTTGACAGTCTGTTATGTGAGCGATGTTCTGCACTTTCTTTTTGACAGACTGTGATGTGAGCGATGTTCTGCACTTTCTTTTTGACAGACTGTGATGTGAGCGATGTTCTGTAGTTTCTTTTTGACAGTCTGTTATGTGAGCGATGTTCTGCACTTTCTTTTTGACAGGCTGTGATGTGAGCGATGTTCTGTAGTTTCTTTCTGATAGACTGTGATGTGAGCGATGTTCTGTAGTTTCTTTCTGACAGACTGTAATGTGAGCGATGTTCTGTAGTTTCTTTCTGACATGCTGTGATGTGAGCGATGTTCTGTAGTTTCTTTCTGACAGACTGTGATGTGAGCGATGTTCTGTAATTTCTTTCTGACAGACTGTGATGTGAGCGATGTTCTGTAGTTTCTGACAGACTGTGAGGAGAGCGATGTTCTCCAGAAATTATGACATACGCTAGAGGTCGCCCAAGCAAGCGACTGGTGGAATTTCTTAGACCGTGAACATCCATTACTACGTAGGCTACACGGTCTTGCACCAGATGCCACTTCAAGACCTGATGCTAAAAGGTAGAGCAGGTTCTAAAGAAAAGAAGAAAGTAGATAAGTATACGTGAAAACTACACTGATAATATAATGAGAGTTTGGCGGATAGCGCACTGGAGTGAAAAACGAAAGAGGACAGAACAGAACGGGAAAGAAAAGAGGCCGAACCGAGAAGGGAGAGTTACTCTTTAAACTGGTTATATTGTTATTTAATTTGATGCACATGTTTTCAGAAACATTCAAGAAATTTTGGTATAATCTTTCAGAAACTAACTGAAACAAACAACTCATAATTTCCAATCATGAATTGGGAAATATTTATTTCTGCTCACAATTCTGTCAGCTAACAATAAGCGACAAGAAATACAATGCACAAGAAAATCTAAGCTCGGCAGACAGGACACTAATTACAAAGTAAGCAAATGCATTTTTGCTCATTGTTCAAAAAAAAATATAATTGACCACTTTCATTCTTTTTAAAACGGTCAATGAAAGTTTGTCAGACGAATCTATCTCTGTACCTGTATCAATCATGTCCCTCTTGAATACATCTTTATTTAGCAGTAAAGACCGAGCTCGACATCATCATTATCATCAGTTTGAATTACCCAAGTTCAGCAGCGACCTAGGGAGCTAACCTCTCCTAGATAAGATTAGCTATAATTTTGGCTCCTGTTCAGGCTCCTATTTAATTGTGGTTTCTTAGTGTTGTAGCTTCAATTTCTGTCGAGCCAGGTTTTCTGCGTGTGGTTTGTAGGTCTGCCCTCTTACTGCTGACTGGTTAGTTTAGTACTCTTTATGTTGCCGGATTATATGGTCTGTGCCACTGGTTACTGTCCTCTGTTTAATTTTCGTAATGTATCTGCTTTTGTGGTCGCTCTGCTCGACATCTTCTGCCCACCTGTAACTCACCCTTGTGAATATCAGTAGGGACTATACCCTTCTCTTTCCTCCAGATATGACCTAGCCACTGACCTTCCGAAGATTAAATATTGAGAAATCTCTATAACAATAATATATGTGTATGTGTTTGTGTGTGTGTGTGTGTATATATATATATATATATATATATATATATATATATATATATATATATATATATATGTCTAGCATTATACGCTCAATGTGCCAAAGGCGTAAGAAGGATCTTTTACTTACGTTTAAATGAATATTTACAATGCTTTGAGTAATTCTGAGTATATCATACCAGTCGCATAGCTCCATAGACAAACTGATGACTTGATTGCTGATGGTTAACAACAACAACAATAAAACAACAACAACAAACAACACCTGCCATCTTTACATTCCAGATCATTTCTGGATATCTATTTTAGACTAAGTCAACGTAGAAGCTCAGGTTTTTTTAGGAGGAAAAAAGGGGCGCATAATAATTGTTATAACACAACCACTGGGTCGACAAAGAAGCAAACGTAACTACTACACAGCGCTGACTTCTATACAGATTTATTTTTAAAATGGATTACTTTCATGCTAGCAGTGCATCGGGCCAATGGTGCAGACTTGTATTTAGTGAGAAAGAAAAAAAATCGCTATACTATACTATAATATACTGTATTGTACTATACTATAAGTAAAAAAAAGTAAAGGACCCTTTTCCACGTCTTTAGGCGTATAGGCCATATAGAGCTAGACCTATATTTTTATAGACCAATCGGCACAAGATGGGCGATGTGGTCAGCATCGCGCCATCCGCCTTTACTTTCCCGGGATTGCACACCGGTACCCACTCAAGGCTGGGTCGACTTGGGAGTCAAGGTCATTTTTGAAAAAAGTCCGGCTGCGTCAGGGAGCGAACCCTCGACCTTCCGATCCGCGACGAGGGTGTACTATACTATGCTATATTATAAATGCTGTGCTAAACTATACTATGCTATGTTATAATACTCTGTTATTTACCTCACGTTATACTATGCAGTACTTAACTATAATTTACTGTAGTATACTTTGCTATGTATTTTACTACTATAAGCTACACTATACTATAGTGTACTATACAATAATATTACAAATCGGTCTAATGTCAAGTACAGTAACAAAATAGTAGTGCCTTTATCAACATACAAAGCACGATGATGATACGACCTAAAACGCTGGATGTGTAGAAGGTCTGTAAAAAGTCGGTTTGTGCCCCACCCATATAATTTAAAACACCCATTTTATACCAAAACCGGCTCCTAATAATATTTTTTTTAATTGCTGTATATTCCACTGCTTTATAAATGTTTATATATAATATGTATGTTTATATATATATATATATATATATATATATATATATATATATATATATATATATATATACATATATATATATTTATATGAACATTTTTAAAGCATTATATATATATATATATATATATATATATATATATATATATATATATATTAAATATATATATGTATATATATTATACTTTCTTCTTTTTAAACATTTATTACTAAAAAAAAGTAAGTCTACAAATAAAAGTATTGTTAGTATTTTAAGATAAAATTGATAATATCTAACTTAATTGCAGGAAAAATTAATTCTTTTACACTGTACTGTACAAATTCACATACATTTAAAATGAATAAAAGAATACAGCCAAACGTTGGCTCACATTCATAAATTAGTAAAACTTTTTGTTAAAACTATTTACTGATAAATGGGAAAAGATCAGCCTGAGATTAAAGGGTCAAAACGTAAAATTCCTAAACAGATAACTACTTCACTCATTGTTGCCTCTTCCTCGGCGCAGTCTCTTTCTCTCTCTCTCTCTCTCTCTCACTCTCTCTCTCTCTCACTCTCTCTCTCTCTCTCTCTCTCTCTCTCTCTCTCTCTCTCCCTCTCTCTCTCGCTCCGTTTACACAAGCAGATCATGTCACTTTTTGTTGCTTTCTCCTGCTCACCAACCTACTGCAGCGTCCTCATCGTTAACTCTAGAATGAAATTCAGGCCATGGGAAATTACTGAGAATCTCGCGTAGTTTTCTGAAGCTTCATACAAAGGCGTTATC